GGCCTTGTAAACACGGCCTTTTAGACAGAGGGAAACCCCTTTTTAACGCCACACATTTCGCAAATACAAAAGGCAGTTCTAGCAAGTAACTTAAGAACGCTTGTAGTCAGACTGATCCCTGTATGATTGCCGCATTCCCAAAGTGAGCGCTTGAAAATTGGACTATAACGGAGCGGCCAAAACCTGTTGGGACGGTGTCTTGCTCAACACAGTAACAAGTTTTGCAAAGCATCCACAACAGCTGGTCCCCCGAATTTGAAGAGGGATAGAGGAAATCTATCTGACCATGCGGCCATATCCAATTTAAGCACTCTGATCTCACGTTCGAATTTAACGCGTGCGGGCGGATGCAAGGGAAATCACCGGTTGCGAAGAAAGCTGGTAAATCTGGCTGTTTAAACATCCAAAGCGTTTTGACAAGCTGTGGAGTGGCTTTTCACACCCGTCGCATATAGTCCCGCTGACAGCACGACTACTGCTCTCCGTTTCCCGTATCAGGGCAAATAACATAAGATGGTCACGAAGGACAATATCAATAACCAACTCCGATGCGTAGTGAGACAACCGGACTTCGTGATCTCACTTCAGGCAAAGATGCAGTTTCGCCCTGTAGTCTTTGTGTACGTCCTTAAGTACGCTCCAGGTCGGAATTAACCGGCGAGCGTCCACAAATTCTGGAGACCGCACAGAGACCCCATATCCAGGTTTACAATACCAGTTGCCGCATGAAGACATGCTATTTGCTAATAATATCTGGCAGATATGCGACCAGTAACCCTTAACTGCGCTTAGCGAACATTTACTTAACATGAATGCCAACGCAGTTTGATAGGCATTAAAAGCACCTGGCTTCACCAACTGGTGGGTGTCCATGCGTTCACAGCGTCGTCGCAGACGTCCGCCAGAAGATGCCCGCAAACCAGCATATACAAGTGCATGGTCAATAGCCAAACCAAGCGACAGTTTTGCACAGAGCCTCTACAGTGGCAACTAATCGCGATGAAGTAGATATGCGTCCATGTCTGGTTTGGGGCATGTGGGTGGCATATCACCTTCCGGCAGGTGCTGTGTCGGAAGTTAGTGCCCGTGAGAAATAGGCGAACATCTTCACATAAATGAAGTAATCGCTCACCGTTAACATGATGGGAGCTTATACTGTGTTGGTTGCACAGATGCATTTCAGCAGTGGACAGTTTTCCAACTTAGGCACTCAGATCACCAGCCAACACTAGAATAGTTCTGCTTCTGCTGTGACGAAGCAGCTTGTTCATTTGGTGATATAAGTTACCCTACGAGTCAGCGCTACAGTTAGTGGGGACGTACGTAGCAATCACAAACATGCACCGATTAACATAGCGCGACTTCGAAGCTTTTGACAAGCCAGTCAATCTGACGGCGCACATCCGGTTGCTTGCTGGATCCAATGGATCAGGGGAGCTTAAACCCGTGTGTTGACTGGGTCAGATGCTTGGGAAACATGTTGACCGTCTTCATTGGCGTGTACATCTCGCCGGTGGTTTTATTAATTAGATAAAATCGTAAGGCAAGCAGCTGGTGTTGTGAAAAGAAAGAAGAAACTAACTGACTGACACTTGACGTCTGGATGGAGGCTACAGTATCGGCCACATCAATGGTTGGAGACCCTATCGAAATGGCGCGATCATGCAGTCAGCAGCACTCCAGTATTCCGTCGCTTGTATCTAGCGGTTAAAAGTTCAATCCGACTAACTTCAAGCATTATTGTCCTAACCTCTGTTTGTATTTATTAGGCGAGCCGCAACGAAAGAACTCTACGACACAGTTTCGTGACGTGAAGTGGGAATGCGGCAAGTCACGCGGAAAGCTTATGAAATCAGTCCATCATCATGACACAGGTTGCTACGCGACAGGAGTGAGTGAATGGGACTACAGCTGGCCAGTGCGGACCGCTAGCAGGTTTTAACCTGCCTAGACAAGTGACGTCAGTCGGTCTAGAAACACACAGCCAGAGGTGATGATATATGTGCTATGAAAATTAACCGTGTTCTGTTCCTAATACACGTCGGTCTAGCAGGTATCGGTCTTCTGTTTTTTCCCCGAATGGGTTGGCAACGCAGAGAGCAGAGGCGATGGAAGGGTTAAAACAGTATTTCACTTAATCTCTAACTTTTTTATTCACTACTGCTGATGCCAGCCAGGTAACCAAAACAGCGACACAAGCCTGCAAAGATGCCCTTCAGTGCTTAGCGAAAAGTACGAGATAATGTAACTGTAAGCAGTATGAGTCCATTTTGCTTAGCTGTTGGATTGCACAGATTGGTGTTTTGAATGAGTTGGAAAAATACCCCACTGTCCTCAATAACGACAGCATCAATTTCACGCGCCCTCTTCTATAGACAAATGATCCCAGATAGTCAAGATGTCTAGACAGACGTTGCTTCAACACTTTCTGAAGTCGTTTGCTTAATGGAACCGTCTAGTGGCAGAGGCTCCTAAGGCCTACTTCAATGCGCACTAAAGGTGATTCCAAGTGACAATAGGCCCAGTCAACTGGAATACCAACAACAGGCGAAGCTCAACTTCGGATTAACAATATTCATCAGTCTGTGAACTCAAACTACGAAAGAACAAACTAGAAGTTTGGTGGTTCGCAGGAGTAGGGAGAACAAACGCCATGCAGTTGCGCACAAAGAGGTGGTCGAACTTTGGGTACGTGCCCCACATTATTCGATAAACTAATATGGACGCTAAGTACGTGTAATCGAATCAGGTCAAGAGCAATGTATCACACGGTTGATAGCAGTAGATACAACGTGACCGAGTGTGCTAGTGAAATGTACTAGCGTAGTAAAGATTGTGATTTGCACTTAAGTGAAAAAGTCGACCGCCGCTACCACTGAAAAGAGAATGGACAGAGGAACTGCCGTAGGGAGTCCGACAAGCAACCCATATTAGCATCCGTGCAACCAGCAACTAAAATGAAAATTGCGCTCTCGATCATATGGATGGCGGATAAGAATAGCTGACAAAATTCACCTTTGGAGGCATTGTTTTGAATCTTCAAAATCTGTGTGACAGGCTTCAGGCAAATACAAACGGGTTGCTGCAATCACACTTCCAAACTGGACTTGCTCCCCAATGCATTGTGGGTCAGGCTATTGAGCCAAAGGCTCCGGGTGGAGTCCCTCCAGCGAACCTCAATGCACTCCACTTCTTTGCTGATCAGACTGTTGAGTCAAAGGCTAGAGGCAGGGCAACTCGAACAAAATCTCTTAGAATAGGCAGCCGGAGAGTATCAACTACCCTCTCGACGTTGTCGATAATACTCCCACTTCTCCTTATTGTTCCCCTTTCAACTCTCTTCTCAACTGCCTACTGAGCAAAAGAAAAGAAACAAGAGACGCATCAGCAGTACGCCGGTACGCAGTACCGACGCTTCGCTGCCGCGCAACCACCACCAGTTTCAAGTAGGCTTAGGATATTTCGAGGGTCGCCAGGTCGCAATGAAGGTTCGGACCCGCGCTCTCGGATCACAAGGCAGGCTTGTGATCCTTAAGATTACGGGCCGGCTATTAAGCAAAGGACTACCGCTGACTTCGTTGCTGCTGTCGTCGATACATATAGCTCTTCCACCAAACCTAGTTTCATTTCGCACCGGTTTTTTAGCGTCCGCACTCTGAGTCAGATCGACCAACAGACAGTACTAACCGTCAAACTTCAGTATTGGCACTGATGTGCGTTGTCTCCGAGACACGCACACAAGATGACGGCGTTGTGGCAAATCTTCGACTCTCCGGCTTTGAATCTGACGACAGTGGATACACCCTTCGCACTTCTGGCAATACTGTCAATGGCTCAAGGTATTTACGGTGTTTGTATCGCCCTAAGCAAACATGCTGAAAGCAATCTGTTCGACTGGATACCGATGAACAGTAGCATGTGTGCGGTTCGACTTCGGACGTCCACTGGAGTTAGTAAGCACCGTTTGAAGACAAGGTGCCTTTTCATCGCCACAGTTTACGCCTCCTACTGTATGCAGTTCAGAGGGTACCAAAGGCGATTTATATCGACAGCCCTTGTCTCTTCTTCGCATGGCGAAAAACGCTGATATCGTGATTGTTGCTGGTGACTTGAATGCTTAAATGTGTCTTTCAGGTTCTGGATAACAACTGGGAGGTCGCTACGGAGTCGATGCATGCCGAACAGACAATGGTGATCAATTCATGCAACTGAGCGCCGACCACAAACGTTACCAGATGAAACGTTGAAACTAACTAGACTGAAGATTCGTGGCTGATAACCAGCGGTATTGAACTAATGGGTAATGTTTGCGCTCTGCCAAGTTCAGATAACATTTGGATCTTGTACCTTTATCTAATAAAGCTGCATTTATGCTAAGTTTACTGGGACATCCTATAACTGGACCGCGAAGGGTGTCTTCGACATAACCCTGACCTACAAGGAGGACGCTGAGCACAATCCTACTCGACCTTTCAATTTTGTAGTACAAGTGAGACTGCGGACATATTAAAAGCGCCGTCCAGCGCAGCTCAACGCGGCAAGGAAGTACGGTCATCATCCCATGTCAAAGTCGATCTCCGTTGCGGTCGCATCTGAACGATAACCATGAGTGAACGCGTTAAGAATACTTTTGAGTGCCAAAATACAATGTCTTGCAGCATGTGTAGATTAGCTCACCGTGATGGATGCCAGCCTTGTCAAGACGGAAACTGGAATAGTGGCGGCTTACTGTTAGAAGAGTTGTGGGCATTGTGTTGTGGATATCTCCGTTTAATGATCCAAAGTACAGTCGGAAGAAGTTCAATGATCAGGCAAACAAAAAGAGGTTGTGTCCTATTTTGATAGATGCGTTCGAGAGCAACAAAAGGCATAGCGACTCAAAAGGGGTGGTGAGAATTATATAGCATACATCCCAAATGTGTCGAACGCATGTAGATAAGGTGAACACAAATCTGGAGCGATAACGAACGAGCATACGATGAAGAAGAAAACAAACGTACCGATAGAGATCTGAGTCAAAGTCATTGAAAATAGGAGGAGTGGTGATTTGATTTACAAGATATTCCACGTTTTCAACACGGCAAAGGCTAGAAGAAGGTAAACATTAGGGTTATCTAAAACAAGAGCTGCAGCTACAATTCGGTTAAGCGGGGATCCTTTTCATGACACTTCTGAAGGATATTGTCGTCATCCAAAAGCTTCTGGATGGTCAAATCCTTGAACGCAAAGCATTGAACAGTGGAGAGGGGGGCGAAAGCCAATCCTTACCTCCTGATCTAGTAACTCATCGATAGTGGACTGGGAGGCAGGCGAGGACCAAAACATTCTGAAAAAGTGATCAACATGCCATCACTGATCAATACATTGGAAATATGTGATAAAGGGAATGTTAGCAGCGATGAGAAATCAATGGCTTAGCCGGGTATCATCGAAAATAGGAGGAACGAGCGTGATTAACTGGTTTATTGGTAGTTATTTACTAATTCTAGCATCAGAGGTTGACTACCGAGAAGACGGAGATCATTAAAGCCAACATAAAGTGGAAAAGTTTGACAGATGTAGCTCAGAAGTCCGTGACGAGCAATAATAATCCGACCAGTGTGACGAGCATCGATGGGATCCGGCTGGGAAGCAAAAACCGACTTTTGCAACGTCATCACCAAGGCCATAACCGCAACACGATGCACGAGCAAACATGTGAACTGTTCGAGCTATGAATGAAAAACTTGAGAGCATCACTCGATCTGTGGTTGTACTAACCCCACGACACTTCTCTGTTATCGAGATTTTCGCTTTCGTTCGCTACAAAGTGCAGCTACAATGTTGTACTGATTCACATGACGAGATAAAGCCTTATTGTGAAAAGCAAAACATTGTCCGACAAACATAGGAACCAACTGTTTTCATACATCTCACGATCGGTTTCAGGTAGACTGCGAGATATCGAAAATCATTCAAATTTTGGTGTGAATCAAAGACAAGATGGTGATTGGAGGGGACCGGATAAAGGACCATAATCATCATTACACGCTACCTGAAGGTGATAAACATCTGACCTATGGTGACGAAATACAGAAAGATAAAAAGTCTAAAAAAAGGCGCGATGCTAGATATTAAAGGGCACAAAAAGGAGAAATATAATGCAAGGTATCAGATGGAATGTGAAAGCATGGTTGGAGAACAAAGCACAGCAGAAGGACAAAGAAACGTACAACTCAAATGTCTGACACCGGGTCTTCAATATTTCAACAAGTGTATCCAACCAGAAGTGTCCATACTGTTTAGAGCCCCAACCCGGAAATTGGGAGATAGCAACGGACGCCAAGTTCGAAGTGAGGGTCTTCACTCCGCTTGACCAAGTCAACACGTGGTGTGCTTCCTCTTCTTTCATCTACACTCCGGTCGCGCAAACAACGGACATCACGAGAGTCGAAGTGCTGGAATGTGCAATAGATGGCCCAGCCATTGGAGCCTAGTGCGTGGCATAACAGTGTTGAGCGGTTCACCCGCTCTTTCTGCACCAAATATGCGACAACAAACAAGTTCATTGACCATGTAGTGCTCCCATGAGATAGGAGTTAAACTGCGAAGGCAACAGTGGGCGAACGTAACCAGCCTCTTTACGTCTGCCGATTTAATGGGCCAGGTTACAGAACCGTACGATAGGTTCGAACGTACGGCTGCACTGAACACGCTACCCTTCAGCTAGTGAAGTTGCGCTGGCAAAATAGGTGACGGAGGTTATTAAAAGCATCTCGAGCTATTGTTATACGGTTCGTGACCACTTCGTCGATTCCACCGGAGCTGATACAACTATCCAAGTGGCTGAATTTCTGGAAGAGTTTTAGGTGATCCCCACCAAGAATCAGCAAAGGAGGCGGTCCCGGCCAATCTTGGAGGAAAGCTTTGCACTTCGAGGATGCAAACCATAGCCTGAAAGGGCTGATAGCCAGTGCTAATCTGTCCAGTGCAGCTTGGCACATTTGTGAGCTGTTACAGAAAAGTGCAATGTCGTCGGCACACTCCACATGAAGAAGTCATTAACCTAGACGCGGCTCCACAACTTTTAAGTCATGTCCACTGAAGGCGATTTCTACGACTACATCAATAGCGAAGTTGAAAAGAAAGGTGAAAGCGGACATCCTCGTCTTACGCCGCTGGATATACTGAAGGACCGTGACAGTTTGCCGTAAGCTCTAACTCTGCCCCAGCAACGCGCCTATAGCGGTCGGATAATGTATACTTATTGCTCGGGCAAACCTTTCCTAAGTGGACAGTCCTAAAAAACCCATCAATCTACCCAATGGTAGGTACATTTGATCTCGAGGAACAGGACAACAATGAGCCGCCGATATATATGACGGTGCTGCAATAATTGACGCAAAATGAAGATGTGATCGATGTAAGCCCAACCTCGAAGAAACACAACTTGCTCCTCACGAAACTGGTTTACACGAGTACCAGTCAACCTGTGAAGGAAAACAGAGGCAAGCAAGCTGGAGGCGATGGAGATCAGACTGATTCATATATGGTTGCCGCATGCCGAAAGCAAGTTCCCCTTGATGATCGGGGTAATAATGGAAGGATTCCAGCCGGTTAGGACAGTTTCCTACTTGTACAGTTTCTTTAATAGCTCGTGTATACCATAAGAGCAGGTCCCCGAAGTTGAATAAGACTGTAAGAAAAGCATTTGGTTCCGCGGCCTCAACTTAAGCAGTCCGACTTCACGCTCAACTTCTGAGTGAGAAAGGGAGGTCCAAAGGTACAGTCCATGGAGCATGGCGATCAGTGACGGGCAAGAAATCTGCCAATTCTGGTTGATTTAATTGCCTTTTAAAGTGCCCAGCTAAAATCTCCAAGCGCCTTGCTAAATTATGGATAGACTGCTGACTGTCTTCGCACATAATCTCGCTGATACTAGATCTCCTGCTGCTCGTTTTCCGTACCAGACGGAAGAACCTACGACAGTTACCAAGGGAAACTGACATTTCTATCCCCGACGCACGATGAGACCACCAGGATTCACGGTCTCACTTCAGGCTAGCACGGAGTTTTGCCATATGCTCTGTGTGGCTTTTGCGTTCGCCTTCAGCTAAAACGTGTAAGCGAGCGTAGATAAGTTAAACAGACTGCGTAGAGACCCAATGTTCAGGTCTGCTACTAGATTTAGAACATGAGGATTTGCCTGCTGCTAATAAAGTCTGGCGAACATGCGACCAGTGGCCTTCAACTGCATTCAGTGAGCGCTTAATCAACCTGGATGCCAGAGTACATCGATACACATTCAGAACACCTGGCTTCGTCAGTTGGCAAGTGTCTGCGCGCTCACAGCGTCATCGCAGGCGTCCGGTAGAACGCATCCGCAAACCAGCACATACAAGTGCATTGTCAATATCCACACATGCGCTCCAAACCGAAACAGTTTTGCACACAGCCTCTCCAGTGGTAACTGAGCGCGATGTGATCCAGTTGCATCCATGGTTGATTTGAGGCGGCTGGGCGCCATGGCGCCTTTCTGCGAGTGATGTGTCGGAAGTCAGTGCACGCAAGAAATAAACGAGCATTCTCACACAAATAAAGTAGCCGCTCATCGTTATGATTGAGGGAGCCTACAATATGTTGGCTGCCCAGATGCGTATAAGTAGGGGACAATTTTCCAACTTGAGCGTTCAGACCCCCAGTCAGCACTACAGTATCCCTACTTCTTCTGTGACGAAGCAGATCGCTCGATTGACGATTAGAATCAGCCTTCACTGAGTTAGCGCTACAGTTAGTGAGGGTGTAGGTAACATTCACAAGCATGCACCTAGTAACCCCGCCCGACTTTGAAGCGTTGGACGAGCCAGCCAGTCGGACAGCACACATCCGGCTACTGATTGGGACGCAATCAACCAGAGCAGCCTCAGCCTGGGAACTCAGGGCAAAACCCGCAACGCCTTGGTCGTTACTCGAAGCTGCATCATCCACGGATAGACGCAATGAGAAAGTACTGCTTGTGTCATCTGAAAGTTCTCGCATGGTGGATGTGAAGTCAAAAAGAAGTTTGGTTTCCTGTACCGGATCGATTATTCCTTCTTGATCCTATTCCCACCTCTTTTCACCTTCCAAACTGATAACATGCTTTTCGTTCTTTACACCGTTACAAGCCGAAACGAGTAGCGTTTTACATTCACTTCATTTGCATGCGGTTTTCCCAAAGTCATGCTTTCACTCGACTGCTATTAAGATCATTGTAACGTGTTACTAGGCAGTGCCACTAGTTCAGATATTATAGTGCTTGCCGTGGATATGAACGCACAAGTAGGGCGTCTGAGCTCTTCAGATAAGTAAGTATGGGCTTAACTTCGAACGGACTGACAACGGTGAGCGTCTGCTGCAACTGTGTGCGGAGCACCAGTTGTTTCTTAGTAGCACTGCTTTATGACACAGTGGGTGCCGAAGTGCCACTTGGCGTCCTCGAGTAGCTGACCAGCGATGGACCCAAATTGACCACATAGCGATAAGTTACAGGTGGCATGGTTCCATCCTAGATTGCCGCTCGAACTGGAGTACCTGCGTCGACACTTATCATACCTTGGTACGCTGTCGTTTCTCCAGGAACTTTACCGGGAGGCGCACCAAGCGTCTGCTCCGAATGGCAACTGAGAAATTGTCGCAGCCCTCACTAAGGCAAGACTAACAAAACGCAACGCGTACCGAACTGTCTTGTTCTAATGACACGGAGCATCTGCTTGTGGCATTATCAATCGTCACCGCACAAGTCACTGGATATCCAAGAGATCGGTGAACTTGTTGGAATCTACAAGAAACCTCCCGGCTGACTCTGAACACAATGTCACCAGACGGGCTATTAGGCGCGAACTAGGAGCTTACCAGCTAAAAAGGAAGCCTTGTGGACCAGTCGAGCTCAAGAAATGGAGGAGGCAGGAGCAGTAGGCAATTACCGCAAGCTCTTCCAGCTGATGCGCACCACTTGTCCCAGAAAACCGGGCGTCAGCGAGACAATCAGAGACAGCGCGGATGCACTGATACACAGTAAGGAGCGCCGTATGGCTCGTTGGACGGAACACTTTCAAGATCAGTTCAGCTGGCCCCATGCTCCCGGACCTCTTCCTACTCAGGTGATGCAGGACGAGCCATAGACGGTTAGTTTAGAGCCTCCGTCGGAGGCCGAGGTCCGAAACGCGATCACAGCCCTCAATGGATTTCGTGCCGCTGGCCCGGATTCCCTTCCACCTGCACTATTTAAGGATGGAGGTGAGGTCCACTGCAAAGCAATGACCTCTATTCGTAGGTGTCTGTGAATAAGAGTATCCATGCTGATTGA